TTACCAAAACCAAAAGGCATACTAACACACTTGGCGATTTTTTTCAAATTACTGACTTTGTACGTAAATTCACGTAATACGATTTTAGGTAACAGTTATTACCACAGACAGAGAAGGAAGCCACACTCCAAGCAGAGCCTCGCTTGCATACAGTCCCGGCGCAAGCCCGGGGCTGACACCTCGTGCACAGCTCTTACAACCCCATCCTCCACCCTTCCTGCCGGCTTCACGTCACCACAGCCAGCAGTCCTCCACACACACATCCGTATATTCATGGGTGTGTGTACACGTCTGTATAATGAAATACTACAGCCGGGACCGGTGTGGCTCAGTGGGTAGAGCGTCGGCCTGCAGACTGAAAGGTCCCGGGTTCGATTCCGGTCAAGGGCATGTACCTTGGTTGCGGGCGCATCCCCAGGAGGGGGTGTGCAAGAGGCAGCTGATCGATGATTCTCTCTCATCGATGTTTCTAACTCTCTATCCCTCTCTCTTCCTCTCTGTGAAAAATCAATAAAATATATTTTTAAAAAAAGAAATACTACAAGAGTAATAAATATGATAAAAAGTGTTATTTTTATTAGCGGACTAATGGAGTAGAGGGAGTGGGATGACAGAGGGATCTCTCCCTTTATATATTTTTTCATACATTCTGTACAAATTTCACACATTTTGACCTACTGTACTTTTTAAACTAATATTTTATTTTAAAAATGTAAGTGAAATATGGTTATTGATTCTAAATAATAAATTTAAATGGGAAGTCAGAAATCACTCTAACCTCCAATGCACACAGGGATCAGTTTAATAGGGCTTAATTATGTTTTTCTAATATCTTAGAAAAATGATACAGAAACAATGCACCACAGTCAGGAACCAGAGACACTCCCAGTGAACAGGGGTGGTGTGAGACAATTCAGAGACACTGCACACACACACCAAACAGCTCCTGGAAACACCCGTCATCAGGGCAGTCCAAAGCGGTCTGAGTTTAGCAAATACATGCCAAGTCCCTCGTATGTGCTGTGTCCACAACATGAAAGATGATTTTCAAAGAAGAAAAAGAGAAATCTAAGGCAAGAACAGCTTCATAAGCGTTAAGCTTTCAGAAATGAACAAGATGCCACTTGTTCATTTCTGAAAGCTTAACGCTGCTAGGAATACAGATGTAGAGAAGAGAGACTCGGTGGCGGCTGAAAGGGAAGGGGAAAATGAGTAACTTTAGGGAGGTAGGAGACTAAGAGAATAATCAATAAATGAATTAACTGTTTTAGAGGATTTTGATTTTGAATATCACTATTTCAGAATAAAAACTAAAACTCTGTAAAAGACTGTGTTCTTCAACAATAACTAATAAATGAGGCCTAATTAAAATTAATATTTTAAATTAATATAGACTATAAGTTTAAATTTATCTGGACTTACACTTACTCTGTACACATTAATAAAGACAGACCTACTAAACTGCTTAAATAGGTATAAGCAAAGAAAATCTTTCAGAGAAATTTTAAAGAATGTTTCTATTATACACATTGAGTTAATAAATTATGTGCCCCAATTTTCCTAGAACCCAAACTGAATTTTTTTTTTACAAAATACAGTAACAGTTCTTATGAGTTAAAATATAGATATCTTAATCATGAAAAAGTTTAAAAGCATATACAGCAAAGAAAGTGTATCTGATTAGTACCTGAAAAAAGTACTCAAAGCTAACTTGTTAATCTGGTAAAAGGATGTGGTATATTACTTAATATGTCCCCAAAAAGGCAATCTATGAAAGACATCTGTAAAAGGTTCTAAAGCATTAAAACCTATTCCAAATAATACACGTAATATAGCAATGCAAAATATGTTGGCAGCAAATAAATAAGATTAAGAGAATCCTACCAATAACTACAGTGTTTTAATCACAAAACCTATTACTAACAAAAAGATAGTGTGCAGGACAGTAAGAAGCTAGGAAGTGAAATGGGGAAACTGAGATAAGACAATTAAACAAGACCAAACAGTTGGGGCAGCTTGCAGCCAGCTGGTGAACCCCAAGACTTACCCTCCCTGACCAAGGACACTTGAGAGCAAATGGCTCATACCCTCCTCCCTAACCAGAGAATACACAGCATAAGCCACCTGGCCTGGTAAAATACAGAGCGAACAGACAATTCATGCCATTTGTAGCTGCTAAACCCAAGGACAGGTGAAGTCTGGGGGGCAAATAACAAAAACCCCAGAAGCATCTGGATGGTATCACTTGAGAGAGCAATGGCTGGCAAGATAAACAGCTGCTAGGGCAAGAGGAGGGAAGGGGAAGGGGAGTTTATCTCACCCACTGGACAAAGTCAGCAGTCTTGGCACTGGACGAGATGATCTAATAAATTCTGCGAAAAGTCACATCAATGTAAAAGGGGGACCTTAAAACCTCGTCTATCTGATAGGGGAATCTTGAAACCTATGGGGGAAAGGGGTGGTAAAAAACCCTTGAACCCACACCAGGGTGGGGTGCTCAGATTAGCTCAGTTGCCCGCTTGTGCTTTATGCCAAGTGTATTCTTAAATAAATTTGCTTGCTTTGCTTCCTTACATTCACTTGCTTTGCTTCAACACTGCTGTCACTTTTCTGAATTCTCTCCCATGAGCCAAGGAGGGGAGAACCTCCTCTGACTTGGGCAGCTCCTGGGCAACAACAGTAATGTTACTGTGGTCAGTAACACTATATCACTCACTCCTCATGGATTGACAAAGTCCTCCCAAGAAGGCCCTAGGCAGCTTCACAGGACTGAGAACAGTGACCTCACAGCCTCTTGTCATGGCATGACTCAGTCCCCTGGAGCAATATCCACTAGTCTTAAAGTCACATTTACAAGAATGCTATTGTCTTGGTATACATTTTCCATATTCCTTTAAGGAATAAAATAGAAATACATGTAAAGCCCTTATAAAAACTATGAAGAGCCATCAGTTACTTACTATTGACTCTCTGTAGGTACGCTGTGGCAATGAAGCCTCAAACAACCTACCATTCACAAGCAGATGGAGTTACTTGTGTTTGCAAATGTAAAAGCAGAAATCTGCACTGCAAAACCTGCCCACCCAGCAGTTGAGGAGTGTACCTTTACTGTCTTTGATTCCCAAAAGAGTTAAAACTAACCCTTGTCGGTATGCTACATTACATCAAAAGCCAAAATATAACCCATTTATATGGAATAGTCTTACATACCATAAAATTCTGCAATATTTTCATGCGGAGGCCACAGAGTTTGAAGCTCAGAAAACTAAGGACCCTTAAGAATGAAACTGAATAATATCAGTTTCATAGCTCAGACACATTTAAAAAGGTTCTACCTAGCAATATTTTCCCATCTTCTCATCATCATCCTGGGTATACACTAAATGTTCAATACTTGATTAATGAATAAAACAGCGTATGTTGTCATTCTCTCAAAAGTTTGGTTACCTTTTGCCGAAACCGGTTTGGCTCAATGGATAGAGCGTCGGCTTGGGGACTGAAGGGTCCCGTGTTCGATTCTGGTCAAGGGCATGTACCTTGGTTGCGGGCATATCCCCAGTGGGGGGTGTGCAAGAGGCAGCTGATCGATGACTCTCTCTCTCATCGATGTTTCTAACTCTGTATCTCTCTCCCTTCAAAAAAAAAAAAAGTTTGGTTACCTTTTAAGATTATCCCATTTACATTTTTACTGGAGGTGAAAAAACTTAATTCTTCAGCCAAGTTCTCCCTTCATTTACTTCTTAGTAAATTATATGATACTGCATGTTATCAACATTTTTTATCTTAATCATCTACACTTTTTACTAGTTGGAACAGATTCACTCAACTTCATGGCATAGAGATACAAATATGGAAAATACAAGAAAACAATATTTGGTAAGTAGTATAAATGGGAAAACAACATTTACCTTTCACTGCTGTTATACCAACTTGAAAATACATTCTGTGAAGATAGGGGGCACTACTGCAAACACCAAGCTTCAGAGCAAATGTTTACAGGCTGTGCAACAGGCTGTACTGCGCAGCTACTGCTCAGTCAAGTAGAGTACTTCCTGTGCCACTAATAAATAGAGCGGCTGTTGTGGGTGGGAAATACAATGTTTCCTTCCCAGCTGATCTTTCAGAAATATTATTCATGTACTACAAACAAATAAGGACTCAAATTATCTTTCCAACTTCCAAAACAATCTACATGTTACAAAAGTGTCTATCCATAATACTGACAAAGCATCTTTTTTCTTGTAAACCAGTAAAAAAAGACAAAGAGGAATTGTGGTGAAAGAAAAGAGCCATATGCTAACCTGACAAGCTCAAGGGAGGCCTGCGTGGCAGTCTTGCAAACTTAGAGACCTAAAATAACCACAAAAGATGGTCTGGAAATTAAATATCTAACAACAAACAGGTTATGGTGGGTAGTCATGTTCTAGGCTGATATTCTCCCAAAGATCAACTTTGATCTTTTTACTGAGCCCATTTGCCTTTTTGCCTCTAAGATAACATATCTGTGAGAGGTCTGGGTAACTTGTAACTTCCCTTTTTCTGGATCCCCTGAGGCACAACCAAATGTGGTGGGCGCCAGGACAGATGCCTTAAATTCCTTCGTTATCATGTTAATTGTTCCTGCACTCACCTGAGTACAGTCCATCATTTTACTTTTTATCCAATCCCAGGGGTTTCTTCAGCTTTGCTTTCTCCCGCCTCCTTAATCCATCACCAATGAATTTCATGTAACCCACCTATTTCCCTCCTTTGATTTCAGTGTATAAATAGAAATGTAACCCGCCATTCTTCGGAGCATTATCTCAATCCCTTGAGGTTCTGCTCCCCAGCATATGTCGACAGTTTGGCTCAAATAAACTCACAAAAATTCTTTACAGGTTTCAATGGTTTTTTCGTTAACAGTGGGTAATGGAATTCAAACCACAGAACACATTACAACAGGCTATTAGTGAGGGGAAATTAGACTGGAATTTAATTCATAATAAAATTTATTTACTTACCAGCACAGAATATTCCTGGGACTTCACTCCGCACTATTACAGTCCGTACTTTCTTATCAGATTTTAAAGAATCCACAGCTTTTGAGAGCTAAATAGAAACAGGGAGGATAAGAAGAAAAAGGGAGAACATTTTTCAGACTGATGTCAACACTATAGCTAAATTTTAGAAGCAAAGAGTTCAATTTTTACACTCACCATTTTAACGAGATTCTTACTGAATGAATTTTTGGCATGAGCTCTATTTATTCCAAGCACCACAATTCCTGGTTATGAAAAAAGCACAAGCACTGAGTTAGTGAGTGTTCAGGGTACAGACTCCCACACACACAGCTAGTTCACTGGAGACAAGAAATCCACCACTTCCTCAAAGTGCCTCCAAAAGCTTAGTTTTGTTTACCTTTTGTTTCAAGCATATATTTTAAAGAGTGTGGTATTGTAACATATTTATAAAATCCATCTTCTGCTTAATATTCACTGTTTTTCTTCCGATTGATATAGAAGAGCTTTAGAACATCATGTCCCTACAACTTAAGGGACACCACCACGGTAATCAGCATAGTTAAGTACACTTTATACCACCAAGTTAGACTAACTATAAGGAAGGCCACGCTTCTTAGAAAAAATCCTCAATTATAGTGTGCTACTGAAAATGTGGTTGTATCACTTCACCTCCTACAGAACTAATGGCTAACCAAGCCTTGTCACAGGGAAGGACTGCAGGATATCTGCTTTTTGTGGTGGTATACATACCAGGTATTAGCGCCTCAATCACTCTTTTGTCACACTAACTAGTTTCATTATCTCCATACAAAGTTTCTCTCCCTCTGTTGCATATGCTTAAACTGAAGGCATTTCCATTTGGAAATCTAACAAGCAACCCAACCGCAATCTATAGAAACAAAGTTCATTCTGTCTCCCACAAAGCCCAGCCCGCCTCCTAACTTCCCTAATTTTATCAGAGACCATCACCTAAATCCAAGCTCCCATTCCAACTGCTGCACTCAGATCAATATTTCAAAGATAACTCTAAGCAAAAAAAAAAGAAAAAAAAAGATAACTCTAAGCATATAACTTAACCACTGCTTAAATACCTTTAATTTTATCTTATTTCCAAAACGTCTCAGTTCAAAGACCTTAATTTGATAGTCAAAGTTGTATATACCTGTACTCAATCCTGTCCCCAGGAAGCACACATTTTCCTTGTATAACAGAAATGCCTTTCATCTGGTTGGGAGTGGAGGTAGGTGTTAGGTCTGATCAAATAACTAATCAATACTCCCTACCCTGGGAACGGACCTTCTGACCCCTTCACTTGACCACATTCAGCTTGCTAAGATCATTATCCTTCTCTTGTGGACCTTCTCAGGATCTGTCCAGAGAGTGCCCAGAAAATGCCCACCTAAAAGTCCTTTAAAATCTCTTACTCCCTGTCCCTAGGTGCTGACGCTCAGCCCACCTGCTATACAGATAACCGAATAAATTCATAATTCCTCAACACTTTGGCCTCGTGACTTCCTCTCCATCGACCCTAACATTTGGTGCTGAAACCAAGGAGGGTTCCACGGGGAAGTGGAGCCATCACCCTGGCTTTGTTCACCCCATAGGCAGCGGCAGCTCGCCCTGGGCTCACTTCCCGATCCACTCGTGACATGCTCACAGCCTCTATCAGCCTCCCTCCCTCTAGACCCTCCGGAACCAGCCAAGGAGGACGCTGGATGGGAACCTCTCCTTCTCCACTGCTGACCCTCACCCCACACCGGCCAGTCCTCTCCAGGCGAGTGACGTCCCACAATTCCCCTCGTCTGGAGTCTTCTGTCCACTCTCCCTCTCTGACTTCTCCAGAGTCTCTCTTCTAGAAAGTCCTAGTGCGGGGCCAGAAGACTCCTCAGCCATTCGGCCTCGGGTCCTTCTGGACGGGGCTCGCCCAGTCTGAGGGTCACCCCTGGTTTCTCGTGGTGATTTGTTTAGCAGTGGGGACGCCTGCCCTAAACAGTCCCCTTTGGGCCTGTGGTCTGTCACTCACCCTTCCTCTCCTGGGCCACGGCACCTCCCTCTGCGCACTCACAGGGAGGTCAGGCCCAAGGCCCTCATTCTCCTTCATAACGCTGTTTGGCCACAACATAAACCAGATGGTAAGATCCATGGCCTGAAAATGCACTTTCCATGGTAACACCCCGCGCTGTTTAGGTAAGTGCTGTCACTGCAATGGAAAGTGGTCAGATTCCCCACGTCCAGGCCTTTTCACCCTTCCGTCCCCACCCTCTCTGCCAGCCCATCAGACCCTTCTCCTCACGTGAAACATCCCCCCAACACTTCTGATTCTGAATCTACTCCTGACCCAGCAGACCAGCGACTGCTACCCCCTTGTGCACCCCATCCCCAAACCCCGACCCTCCTCACCAGCAGCCACCTGCTCCCGACCCCTGAGAGCCCAAATCCCGAGAACTCGAGCTCCAATACAGACTTTCCCACCCAACTAACACTCCCAGACCGTCTCCTCCACAGCCACTCCTATTCCCGCGCCTCCTCTAGCCCCAAGGGAGGTGGCAGGGACTGAGGGTGCTGCCTGGGTACACACCCATTCTCCATGTCCGTCCTCACACAGATTGAGAGGCGTCTCAGGTATTTTTCCACCAACCCCCCCCCCCCCCCACACACACACACACACACCTTTACCAAGGAATCTGAGTGCCTGGTGCAGTGCCTGACCTGACATGACATCTAGGTCCTCCTCTCTCACCCGGAGAAGGAGCACACCTGGCTAGCAGCTCAGGACCATGCTGTGCCCATAGACACGGCACTGACGTGGTCCCCAAACTGCCCCGAGATGGGGCTATCAGGCTACTTCTCCAGGCACCAGCTCCGAAGCCACATAATCTCCTGTCTCATTGCCAGACTCACAGGCTGCCCACAGGGCGGTCAGCTATGGCACAATAAAATCACTCAGGGCCTGACGGAAACCCAGCTCTCCCCCCCACCTCATGGAGGGCTTGTGGGAATTGACCACCTTAGACCCCACCTCCCAGAGGGAACCCTTCTTCTGAACACCCATGTTATAGCCCAATCAGCCCCCACAAATGCCGCTAGCTTCCAAAAATGGACACAGGTCCACAGACACCTCAACAAGACCTCGTTAACTTGGCCTCTGAGGTCTTTAATAACAGAGACCAGGAGACCCAGTCCAACAACAAGGCGAGATCAGGCCAGCTGAGGCCCAGAGGCCCTCCGGCTCCTGGCCGCCGCTCTCACAAACCCACACCGAGTGCCGGTCCTCCAACAAGGGCAAGTCAGGGGCTCAGCCTCCTCCGGGCCCTGCTTCACATGCCACAAGGACACTGGGACCACACCGCTCCCATTCAGCTCCTCATCCCCACATCCGGCCTCCTCACCTCACTGCAATCAGATAATGGACCTGCTCTCACATCTCAAACAACTCAACAGGTCTCCTCCACTCTGAACATCCAGCGGAACTCACATCCCCTACCGGCCCAATCTTCAGGAGAGGTAGGAAAGGCAAAGTCCTTAATTCAGTCTCACCTAACTAAACTAACTCACAAAACTAAAGGACCTGAAACTGCTCTCCTACTGCTAGCCCTTATGCACATCAGGGCAGCGCCCATGCACCTCCTTTCTTAGTCCCTGTCCCCTCTCATTAGGAGACTTCCCTTCCACAGGGACCCCTCTAGAAGGCTATGTCCCCTTTTATTTTATTTTTTTAAATATATTTGAATTGATTTCAGAGGGTAAGGAAGAGCAAGAGATAGAAACATCAATGATGAGAGAGAATCACTGACTGGCTGCCTCCTGTACACTTGCAACTGGGAATCGCAACCTGAGCATGTGCCCTTGACCGGAATCAAACCAGGGACCCTCAATCCACAGGGGGAAGCTCTATCCACAGCAAAACCAGCTAGGGACTATGTCCCCATTTTAAATCTTGTCCGACAATTCCTGAGGGAGCATGCTGATCAGGGCCGCCCTTGACCTTTTACAGGAGTCACCCCCCTACTCCTCTACAGCCAGGGGACTGGGTCCTCCTAACGGAAATCCATTTGTCAAATAATTTATAGCCCCGATGGCAAGGCCTTTATCAGGTACTCCTAACCACACCACTGCAGCTTAACTATAGGGGCATACCCCTTGTTCCATCTTTCCAGATTAAAACCCATCCCTGGAACACCGCCATCCCATGGGATGAGATTTCCTTCTTTCTACATCCCAAACATACTCTTTCCCCGCTTGGGGTAATCGCAACCCTGGAAGTGTGAATTAGTTCCCCCCTCATCCTATCCCAGCCCTCCTCTCCTACACACATAAGGAACTTTCTCACCTTCACTCATCTCAGCGAACACTAAGCTTTACCCATTCCCTCCAAAACCAGCCAATCCAACCTAGCCAGGGACTGCTGGCTCTGCCTTCCCCTCTCCTCTTCAGCGGATGCCACCATCCTACCCCAATCAAGAGACGGAATCAGGCAAAAATCACTCTGGCTTATAAAAAGGAAAAGGGAACTATATTTCTTGAAAAGGCAGACACTCTTCTATGTAATTATCCTACAGCCCAGGCAAATCAAGCCTCTCTTCATTTCCATTCTTATATGCAGTCTCTTGCTAAGGCAGCTCCGGCCTCCATCCTGTCACAGGTGTTATCACTCTACACACCCTACCAATCACCCAAACCTCTTTATGCTTTACAAGGTCACAGGGCAATATAGCAATAGGCCATCTCCCATCATCAGCCTGCGATACCACAGTTAACCATGGACTACTGAACGGCCAGTGGTCCCAACAGGTTAACTACCAGGTCTTCCCAGAAGCCAATGATTATTTCCTTCTTATCCAACCACCCAGGCCCAAGATTTCAACTACTCTTTTCCTTCCCTTTCACTTTTCCCTTAAGTAACAGCCCATCCTAGCATTGCTGCCCACTTGCACTGCAATAGAATCTCAACCACTCAACTGTCACCTCTTATTGGAGCGCCATGGTAACTACCCTCTTGGTTTGGAGCACAGAACTGGGGAAAGGAACCTCATATCCTTTAGTCCACCTCTTCTCCCTGCCTTTCAGCCTGTCTTAAAACATATACATCTGCCTCCGAACTGGGCAGGAACCTGGACTCTTCTCTCTCACCCAATGTAGATGCAACCCCCAATAATCAGCCTACCTGCCCCCGTAACCCACCATATCCGACACGAAAGGTCACCCAGATAATCCCCCCCTCATAACCCTCGGCATCACAGCAGAGTGTCAGGACTGGCATGGG